TGTGAAGTCTACTGATAATAAGTGTACTTGTCTCAGTTGCTTAGGCAGCCTGTAGTCCAATCTCTTGCTCAAAACAGGAACAACTGTTAGGTCAGATTAGGTTGCTCAGGAATTTATCCAGTCTGGTCATAACTACACAACCTCCAACAGAATTGCACAGAATCACAAACTAGTTGAGGTTTGAAGGGACCTCTGGAGATTGCCTAGTCCAACCCCCACCCCAGCAGGGTCAGGTAGAGCAGGTTGCTCAGGGACATGTCCAGTCAGGTTTTGAGTATCTCCAAGGAATGAAAGTCCACAGCCTCTCTGGGCAAGTTGATCCAGTGTTTGATCATCCTCACAGTAAAAAAGTTTTTTTCTTATGTTCAGATGGAATTTCCTGTGTTTCTATTTGTGCCCATTGCCTCTTGTTCTGTCACTGGGCACCACCAAGAAGAATCTTGCTCCATGTTCTTTACACCCTCCCAGCAGATAGTTATAAACATTGATAAGATTACTCCAAGCCTTCTGTTTTCTAGGCTAAACAAACCCTGCGCTCTCAGCCTTTTCTCATATGAGAGATGCTCCAGTTCCTTAATCATCTTTGTGGCTTTTCAGTGGACTTACTCCAGTAAATCCCAGTACAAGAAAGGGCAACCCCGCTCTTGTTTTAGCGTCTGCTGTCTCTCATCCCCCAGCATGCACCACTGTGACTGGCCTGGCCTCTTGTAGATATTGCAAGACTGCTATTAGCTCTGCCTGAAGCCTTCTCTTTTCCACGCCGAACAAGCCCAGTTTCTTCTGCCTCTCCTCACAGGGCAAGCCCTCAGACCGTCTTGGTGGCCCTCTGCTGAATTTGCTCCACTTTACTCAAGTCTTTCATGTATTGGGGGGCCCAACAGTGGGCACAGTTTTCTACATGCAGTCCAACAAGTACTGAGTAGAGGGATAATCACTTCCCTTGATTTCCTGGCTGTGCTCCTGTTGATACAGCCCAGGATGCTGTTGGACATCTTTTAGCTGCCTTTTCCACAGAGCTGCTCCCTGGCCAGTCAGACCCCTGTCTGTATGGTTGCAAGGGGTTCTTCCTTCCCAGGTGGGGGAATTTGCATTCATCCTTGTTGAATTTCATGCAGTTCCTCTTGGCACATTCCTCCAGTCTGTCAAGGTCTCTCTGGACTTTGTTCCTCAAGGACCTGCCCTTCAGCGTAGTTACTGGTTTGCCCTGGGAGACCCATTTCTTTCCTTCTGACATGGAACTAGGCAGAACTGAGACTACTAATGCTCAACCCTGTCTGGTGTTTTGCCTCCTATTTTATCACTTTATTTATTTTGGGCTGATTTTATTTATTTGGAAGAGAAAAGTCATTGATTGATGTTGAAAATTTGGGATTTGATTATTAGAATTTCCTGTTTAAAATATCCAATTCAAATTACTTTGCAGTTACAACTTTGACCAGAGCCTCTGGATCAGGGATTATGTGTTTTCAGAAGATCAGGATCTTCTTCTTTATATCAGCCTGCAGAGAACTGGGAGGAAAGCTGATCCTGGAGTTTTTTAGGCTTTTCCCTGCCAAAAGACTCAGTCAAGCCAGCTAACAGAGCAACTTCACAGCTAACTTCAACATCTAAAGTACCCACAATTTCTTCTTAGCTCCTGAGCCCAAATGCCTGTCCTGGTTGCAGAACCATCAGATACCAGGGATACAAACCCCCTTCTCTTCAGACATTGCCTTCTATGGAAAGGAAATGTGGATGTGTGCCAGAAGAGATCCACAATATGCCTCAGAGCATCAGGACTCCAAGGCATGCCACAGCACTTAACTAACATTCAGTCAAAAAGCATTAATTTTATTTTAATTTCCTTTGGTCAAAGGCCCTAATATTTTCTTTTTCTTTCTTAATTTATTCTAAAAAGCCAGTCCACCACAAAAGTAGCAACTGAGAAACAGCTCAGAGATCACAAGTTTGCAGCATCATACTGCAAATCTGACCATACTGTAGTGCTCGCTTGGCCCCATCTTTCTTCTTCCCTCTGTACCACAACAGACAATAGTGAGTACGTGGGTAGAAGGAAGCACTTGAAATTGACAGTTTGCTACAGTTCCTTAGAGCTGCACAGAATTCTGAGTCACTGTATCAGGACTACATTTCTCTTAGCAATAGAATTTGCTCTCAGCAAATTGAAGCCTCTTCCCTGTCCTGCATAGGAATGTACTTTAGACCAAAAAAAAAAAAAAAAAAGAAACACTAATACCTGTAAGTGGCTCAGACTAGAAGAAAGTGACATAAAGAAGCAGATATCTGAAAATCACATTTGCCCTTCTTTTCTCTTTACCTTTCTAAGATATCTTATCTTTCTTAAATTAGAAAGAATACTCTCTGCACTTCAGGTTATAGTCATAGCAAGGCTAAAGGTATTTATATGACACCGTGGGCATCTAGGTCCAAAATATGTTCCTTAAAATTAACCATCTAAACCTGGAGGCCTGTGAGTTTTCTCATTATAGTTGTCAGGACTCTAAATTTCTGCTACTGGGCAGCTACAGAGACACCTAAGGACTGGGCATGCTCAGTTTATCTCATGCTAAGCTCAAACAAGAGTCACACAGTAGGAATTCCCCACATATCTTACCTCTGGGGTCCAAAGCCTACAGTATTCCTTAGAAAATGACAAACTGTCCCACAAAGCACAGTCAAAAAGGAACAATACCCTGCTTCTCATCCTCTACTGCCGAACAGAGCACTCATTCAGAAGCTAGAAGAGCTATCTTGAAATTTCTTCTGTCTGGATATAAATCTTTGTTTTAGAAATGTAGCCTAAACATAGGCCTATACATTAGCCTTATGATACTCTTAACATGTTAGCACAATGTCTTCGTGAATACCATGTCTACACACCTGACATTCCCCAAGCATTGTATAGGGAGAGAGGGCATCTAACTTGGGGGTTGAATTCCAGGGCATAAGAAGGCATTTAAAAATTAGGTTAGTTTTCAGTGGTGCAGCACCAGCACAAAAGTAGAGTATGCTAGCAGAAGACTGTGAAGGTTCCCTAAGTATACTTGAAAGTCTGATCGTAAGATCTATGTGCCAAGACAGAATGATGAAGCCTGAAATTCCCCTGCTTCACCTCCAAAGTTCTCATTGCCTCAGCTTCTTAAATACAAATTAGAGATCAGGAAAGAAAGAGAAAATGCACGGGGCTTTAAAGTGAGGTTTTGATGACATCATTCAATAAGAAAAATTTGTGGAAAAAATGGGTTTGGAACAAAGCACGTGCAAATCTTTATGGCGTAAATCTGACATAAATCAGCACTTGATCTCACATAGCTTGGTTCCAAATGTTAGAAGTTATGACAGCCTCATAAACCAGCAAAATTCACTGTGATTTCCTCAGGATTATAGCACTTCATTTCCACATTTCACCTATTGACCTCTTCATTCATTCTTGTCAGTGACATTTCATTATATAGTGCACACATGATTTGGAACTAGACAAATAAATTCTAAGAACTTATGTCCCCTTTTCACACTGGGGATGAAATTATTTCTTTTTAAATAAATTTAAAAAATCAGGAAAGTACTGGCTGCAAACAGGAAAAAAGTAATGAAGAGATGAGTTTCAAAGAGGCCTTGTGTTTAGTGGATATATTCAATTGTAGAAATGTGAGAAGGAGCCTGAATCTAAATCTTTAGCTCTAATTGTCTGTTTGATAAATTACACAAACAGACACAGCCAAATAGAATGAATGACCCCACAGACAGTTGGTGCTTGTTACCAGGTTAACATAGTAAGTCTGTAGTAAAAGAAGCCTGTCTTATCTTTTTAGTCCATCATTTTTCTGCTCTCCTGAACTGCATGGTTGTAATTCTGTTATTAATCTTGCTCACTTCTCTCAGTATCTTAAACTCTACCATTTCATGATTGCCAAAGCCAAGACTGCTATAACCTTCACACTCTCAACCAGTTCTTTCTGAGTAAAAGATCCAATAGAGCATCTTCCCTAGTCAGCTTGTCCATCAAGAAATTGTCTTAAACATACTCTAGAAATCTACTGGATTGCTTCTGCCCAGCTGTCTTTCAGTAGGTGTTGGAGTAGCTCATGTTCCTCACTAGAACCAGGGCCTGCAACTGTGAGGCTTCTTCCAGTTGTCTAAAGAAAGCTTCATCTAATTATTATTAGGTGGTCTGTAGCAGATACCCACCATGAAGTCACTCTTGTTGATCTTTCCTTTGATACTCCTTTACCCATAAACACGCAAATTTGAGCTGCTTTGTGCCTTTGAGCTTTGTGCCTTTGTGTAAACTGCAACCCCTCCTCCTTGCCTTCCTGATTCGTCTTACCTTAAGACTCCACGTCCATTCATCACAACACTCTATTCAAGCGAACTATCTGACCATGTCTCTGTAATCCCAGTGAGATCATAGCTCTGCAACTGCACATGGACTTCTCCTATGTGTTTCCCATGCTGTGCGAATTGATGCACAGGTATTTGAGATGGGCTTCCAGTCACACTGCTTTCTCAGTGGAAATATGAGAGCCTCCTCCTTCATGCAGTGTCCCCAGGCACTTCCTTACTGCCTCTCATGCCTCCTTCCACTTCTCTTCAGGCTTTGGTCACCATTCCCCAGCAAACCTAGATTAAGGTCTTCCTTACCTTTTGGCAAAGATGCTCTTGCCCCCTCACGTTGGTCAGTCTCTCCCTTGTGGTTTTTATTCTTCAGAGTGAACAAAGTAGCTATCAAAGACAAAGCCTTGCCCATGACATCAGCTGTGCAACCAGGCATTGACCTGCCAAATGTCTTTCTGCTCCACTCAGAATCAAGAATGTGAGGTATAGGAATAAAGAAAAGGAAAGACAACAAAGTTTTCAGCATAATGTTGATTTCCCTGAAGAGTTTCTTTGTCACAACGAGCTACCTAGCTTGTCACAGAACAGGACAGGACAGGACAGGACAGGACAGGACAGGACAGAATAGAATAGAATAGAATAGAATAGAATAGAATAGAATAAGCGACAGAAGAGGAAGAAACCATAGCCCTGGACAAATGATGAAAGGAAGGCAAAGAATCCATTGACAGACATGCATATCAGGAGTGACTGTCTCCTTCCCACCTTGTCTGCCAAGCCTCCCCAGAAGAACGCCCCCACCATCATCCCAAGGTACACTATGCTACCTGCAATACACAAAAAAGATGTTGCTTTGTGAGCTACATAACTGACCACAATTGACCACACCAAAAATAGTCACATGTACTTGAGTGATTTGCTTTCAGCAATATCTTCTATGTTTACAAAATAGCATAGAGACTATTTTCTCCTTTCTCAGTTAGTAGAAATTGTATGCATAGCTTTGTAAATGTACTTAGGGAGAACAGATTTCCTATTGTGTCTGTCATCTGTTAGCAGACACACTGAAGCTTGATATAATTATTAAATGAGGTGCCTCTAGCTAAAACAATTAAAATACAGGCAAATAAGACTGAATGGGAGAAAGAATGCCACCATTTTCTCAGTAATAAACTGCATTCATGTTAAATACTGCAAAAATTAAAACTTCCTCTACAGAAACAAATTGTCTGAACACCTCTAGAATATGAGCAGTCCTGGGATTAATCACTGGGAGTAAGATGTGCTAAGTCTATAGAAAGCTGATTATGAAACAACAGACACTTTCCATTTGAGATCTACAGAATCAAAGATGTCCAGGTTGATTGTTTTTTTCTCCCTCCTGCTTCGGTGTAATGCTTTATTTTAAAAGGTATTGTCCTGTATACAAAGAAAAGCAGAGGAACGGTTTTGTTTGCAAAGAATTTTGAACAGATACATTACAGTTTATCTGAATACATTAAAATGAGATGGAGAAAAGTTATTTTGGGGTGGATTTTTTTTTAATTTCATGATTTTTTCAAAGTTAAGTACTTTCCCACAGAAAGGTAAGTTGAAATATTTAACACTTACCATTCACATCTTATCATACTGTACATTATTTCCTTTACAGGGACAAACCCTCTGTAGGACACTTGGCAAAGATGCACAACACATTGAGCAGATTGTCAGAAGCAAAAATAGTTCCCAAGCTTTGGACAGACCCAACCAGATCTGTATTTTATTTGATACACGTATTATTTCTTCTTCTGCCTACTTTCTTATTGAGCTTCCCAGATTGGATTTTATCTATCTATCTAGCAGTTGCTACCATCTTGTAAGTCTACTACAGAGCAAGATTTAAATATAGAGTAGCTGGAAGCAGTTAAAATATTAGCAAGCTTTGTCCTGTGTCTCTTTTCGATCAGCCACAAGTACTGACAAATTCCCCAGCAGCTCTGCTGGGCTTCAATTGCTGTTGTGTAAAATTCTGTCCTCCAAAAGAATCACCTCTGCCCTGCAGAAGGTAGTTGGAAGGGAAAGCAAGCTGAAAAAATAATTAAATGCTTGGGCTTGGTTAACTGAATATAAACACAGAGGTCGCTCATCAGTATTTCCATGCTTGGAAATCCATATGTTAACATCTGAAGTGCAGACATCTGCAGGGTCTCATGCACCACAAAAATGTCCCTGTTCCCTCTCATGTTTTGTACAGTTTCCACTGTGCTGCTTCCTTATGAGGTACCATTTTAAAACATTTGATATAACACACATCGTGTTAAACGTATATTAGCAAGATATACAGAGTTATATCTTGGTTAGGTGAGTATGCTGCTTCTATTGCATTTATCACAAACACCTGTGTGTACTTTCACATCGGATGCCTCAGTGATATCTCTGGGATGAATCCCATCAGGCCCCATGGACTTGTGAACACAGTTCTGTTTTCCATTGCAGTTTGTGCTTTCTGTGCATCTTCAAAACTACCTATTAATTTTTGCCTGTTTGAATTTTTTTTATGGCAAACACTCTCCTGCGAAGATCTTTTACACAGCATAATAGACAGGCATTTTGTATGCACAACTGCTTGTATTTTTATTTTACGTTGCACGCTGCTAATCTCAAATTAAATCCAAACTCACATGCATAAATAGCATATGAAATGCATGCACATAAAGAAGAGTAAACCAAAGCATTATGTGCAGGACATCTGAAAAAAATCATTCTGTTTATTACTAGTATGGCTTCAGCTGGAGTACCATGTTGAATGCTAGAATGACTAGAAAACAATAGTATGAAGATGATCAGTATCCATCAGTTGTTTGTAAATTCAAGGTCCCTACAGAGTAACCACCATTTGATGTTGTCTCTGACCAAATTTCTACCTTTTGTATTTTTTTCATTCTCTGCATGATTCAGACAACTTCTGAAACCAAAGAGCAGTGCTTCCACCAGGTACAATGTAAACCCACATATATATATATGTATATGTATATATATGTATATATACACCTTTTATACAGAAGCAGTAGCTAGAGCAGATTATTCTTGTTGGTCCATTCCTATCTCAACTTCCTTATTGAAAAGAAAGCAGCCTATAACAATCTCTGGTTCAAATAATGAATTCCACATGCTCAGTTATATGGACCAAAAGAATATCTGTCAGTCCTCAATCTGGGCAATCTGAAGTAGAGGAAAACAGCTATCATCTCCTTTGCCATTGATTGTGACCAATACCAGCAAATCAATTTTTTCTGCAGCTGCCTTTTTAGCCAACAGAAAATAAGAACAGGATATTTCTAGACTGTCTTCTCCTTGAGTCCCTAAGGACAGGATGACAGATCTATTGTTGCTCATCACAGGAGCATTAACTATTTCTTTACCTAAGTAAGACCAACAAGCTCCTTAAGAACAACAGTTAAATGTCTTCTCAAAACACCTTTTGTCAATGGACATTTTCTAGCTATTACTGGGATCTTAGTCTTTCATCAAAGGATATTGATGAGAATGTAGGTAAATCCAGAATTTGCAGAAGTCCTAAGATATCTTTGTTCTCATTCTTCTTAGCCCAGGAAGGACACAGACACTACAATATTCTCTTTGGTTTAGAGGTGTTTAGCAACAGATCTTTATCAGATAGCTCCTTCATTCTGATCAGAAATTGTTTTTCCAATACTTGGGATTTTCCTGAGAGCACACACACACGGATCTCTTAAATTTTCTGGTCCTAAAGAGACAAAGATTGGTGAGTGGCTTGGCACATTCACTCAGCCTGCTTTAAGATCTCTCCTGTGGGCAAGGTTACTGTACCACGCTTCAGGTAGACCAGTACTCACAAGCAGTTTGGAAACTCCATCCAGCAGAGCTGGCACTTACTTGTCAATATTAGTTGAAAGATCTTAGCAAAAATAGTTCAATAGCTGCATTGCCAGCAGACTGATTTCAAAAAGGCAACTAAAATGGTTAATTTTTACTCTTGAAGCAAAATTCTTTACTATTGTATATGACATACATAAATGTTGGGCTTTCCCAGTCAACACTCTAATATTAGAAATACTCACAGAAGGACAGTCAAATATTTTGGCATTTCTTTATATAGATAACTTTGAAATATTGTATGCAAATGATCTTAATTTTACCAAGTAGCTACTTTCCTTGTGATGCATAGAAATATCAGACACTCTGAACAAGAAAAGAAAAAAGTTTCCAAGTCTTCAGAGTTTAAAAACATTAACCTTTCTTTTTGATTAAAAGTCCTTTGGTCATCGTATTGTGCTTTGGCCTTTCTTATACCCCTATAATTCCCCTGAAGAGCATTCAAAAGATAGCTGCTAAAATAATATTCTCCTCCTATCAATAAACTGCTATAAATAAGCTGCTTTCTGAGCTCCACCATTAGCTCATTCTTTCCCATCATATTAACTTTGAATTTTTTCCTAAATGCCTTGCAGATCCTCCACAATCCCTCTCCCCCACTGCGCTGGTTTTGGCTAGGATAGAGTTAATTTTCTTCATAGTAGCTAGTATGGGGCTATGTTTTGGATTTCTGCCGAAAACAGTGTTGATAACACAGAGATGTTTTTGTTATTGCTGAGCAGTGCTTACACAGAGTCAAGGCCTTTTCTGCTTCTCACACCACCCCACCAGCAAGTAGGCTGGGGGTGCACAAGAAGTTGGGAGGGGACACAGCTGGGACAGCTGACCCCAACTGACCAAAGGGATATTCCATACCATATGACGTCATGCTCAGCATATAAAGCTGGGAGAAGAAGAAGGAAGGGGGGGACATTCAGAGAGATGGCGTTTGTCTTCCCAAGTAACCGTTATACGTGATGGAGCCCTGCTTTCCTGGAGATGGCTGAACACCTGCCTGCCAATGGGAAGGAGTGAATGAATTCCTTGTTTTGCTTTGCTTGCATGTGTGGCTTTTGCTTTACCTGTTAAACTGTCTTTATCTCAACCCATGAGTTTTCTCACTTTTACTTTTCTGATTCTACCCCCCCATCCCACTTGTGTGGGATTTGCTGCTACAGCTGGATCCCTGTAAGTCAATGGGACCCGATGGGATTCATCCCAGGGTACTGAAAGAGCTGGCTGATGTCATAGCGAGAGCTCTCTCAATGAATTTTCAATGCTCTTGGGAATCTGGGGAGGTCCCAGTTGACTGGAAGCTGGCAAACTTTGTCCCAGTCTTCAAGAAGGGCAACAGGGATGACCCTGGTAACTACAGGCCTGTCAGTCTCATCTCTGTGCCTGGTAAAATTATGGAGAAGGTTATTCTGGGAGTTATTGAAAAACACCTGAAAGACAACACAGTCATTGGTCCCAGCCAGCACGGGTTCATGAGGGGAAAGTCCTGCTTAACAAACTTGATTTCCTTCTATGACAAGGTTACCCACCTAGTTGACCAAGGGAAGCCAGTCGATGTAATCTTTTTGGACTTCGATACTGTCTCTCACAGTATCCTCCTGGACAAAATGTCCAGCACACAGCTGGATAAACACATCATGCAATGGGTGAGCAATTGGCTGACGGATCGGGCTCAAAGGGTTACAGTAAATGGGGTTACATCGGGCTGGTGACCAGTCACTAGCGGGGTTCTGCAGGGATCCATCTTGGGGCCAGTGCTCTTCAATATCTTCATAAATGTCTTGGATGCAGGACTTGAAGGTTTGTTATCAAAGTTTGCCGATGACACAAAATTGGGAGGAGCCGTGGACACTCTCGAGGTCAGAGAGTCTTGCATTAAGAAGATAAATATAAGAAAACTGTAATAACTCCAGAATTGGCAGAAGAACTCAGTTTTCTA